TTTCAGATCATAGTGTAGTAGAATTGTTTTCCTATTAAGAAACAATGTGTACGAATTTAGATGCATATGTAAAATATGTAAATAACCACACACATTATTATTATTATTCTTGTTAGAGCAATTATATTGATTACATATACTCTCATATTATAAAATAAAATAAATCATCAACTTAACGTATACATACTTATATGTACATTTATAATGCCGTACGTACATATGTATGGATGTGTTTGTTTAAATTAAAATTCAAATACCGCGTAAATATTTTTTTTTGTTTTTTTCATTTCTCTCTTCTCTTTTTTTCCCTCTCCAACTCTCTATTACACTCTATTTGTTTTATTTTAATTGTAGTTATTGTACACCCCACGGTCACATTACCAAAATTGGTATTGCAACACCATTTAAGGTGATCTCTTTTATAGATTGAAATCTTTCAAAATTATAATAATAAGAAAACAACAACACCAACAATAAATAATATAATATAATAATCGGTAACAAAAAAAAAAATAAAAGCTGAAATCAAGATTATACAGGTAAGAACATGTCAAATCTATAACCAGAAAAGCTTTTATACAGTAGATTCTCATTAAATATATAATTCAAACCGTTATTATGCTTCGAAATTATGTGGATTAAATTCATTAGGAAACGCCTTTTGTAAACAAATCAAAATTGTAAATTTATTACTAACATCGGTTCATCATTAGGCCTACCTAGATTTCAAGCTTTCAATTCATTATCGAATCGACCGACAAGATTTTTTTTTTTCTATTTAAGCGGATTAAAATGTAAACGTGGGATGTTACTGTTTTTTACTGACTGTATTTTTACAAGCTGCTTGCAGATAATTTCCTTGCGCCTTATCTTATTATGAGACAAAGCTAACATTACCACTTTCTCTTCTTAAAATCCCGCCATCTCACAAAAACATAATTTATTTACGCTTCGGTTTAATATGATAGAGAAGTTTTTTTTTTTCAAAATGCGGAATTTAGTGCTATCTTGTTTCGACGGGTATCCAATACGATTGGTAATTAATATTACTATTGTTGTAAATATTGCATAAATTTCGGGGCCATGTTTTTTTATAGACAAAGTTATTGTTGTACTAAAACAAAAAATTTTAATCGCCACACTAAATAGTTGTTAATATTATTAGAATTTAACTGTAATACAACTTTTGAATTAACTTACAGTTAAAAAATTGTGCAAAAAAAAATATATAATCAAAGTTCTAAAGAACGTGAGCGATATTTTTATTTTATGCATTATAACAAGATTTTTCTAACATACACAATATTAAATATAACAGATTTTAATAATATTTTCTATTCTGTATATTAGATTTGATGAAGAAAAACAAGAAAAAACAAGAAAAAACAGAAATAAAAAAAAAAGAATAATTTTTTTTTTGCTATATTAAAAGCCACCACACTGTGTTATGTGATCAGAAAAAAAAAAAAAAAAGAAAAAAAAAGTTAATACTGCACAGGTGAAAATAAATAATGACGTTTTTATTTTATATAAGTTGACTGTTATCGTTGTTATTGGTGTTACTTGCATTTTTTTTTTTCCAGAATTTTTTTTTTTTTTTTTTATTATTATTTTTCTTGAAATAAAGGTAAAAATGACTATATAAGTACATTTTAGATTATTCTTTTTTTCTGTTATATTTTTTTTTTCTCTTTTTTTATCTTAACAGATTCAATGACCAATGAAGTACAATGAACAACAATATAAGAAGTAAAAAATAAAGTAGCATTCTACTGACGACACAATGTCTCTTACGTAGTTTTACGTTTACACCATATGGAAATGGAAATTCATACACACTCACATATATATGCAATATAATATTAATAACAATAATAATAATAAAAAATATAGAATGCAACCAACAATGTTATTTCTCTATTCTCTTAATACAAAATGACTTAAGAATAAAAAAACAAATCATACTGAATATGGTTTTGCGCAATTAATATGCACGCAAAGTTTTAATATTCTATTTAAAAAATTTTGTTTTTTTTTTTATATACATACATACAAACTTACGTAGCTATAGTTGATTTTAAAATTCTGCTATTATTTCTAAATTAGGAAATTAGAAATTTAATTTATGATTATTATTAGTAATTAGTTTTCATATAGCATTTAATATGAAAAAAAAAAACAATAAAATTGATTTTAATAAGCGTTTTGTGTTCTTGATATTTTCAATTTGTTGTTTTTTTTTTCTCTATGGAATTAGTTTTCATACAAATAGAATACTAAAATAAAAAATTATTAATTAAAATGATGTTTCATTTAACAAAAACCAAAAAAAACAACAAAAAAAAAAAATTAATTGTAATTTTAAATTACTTAATTAAATTTTATAAATATTTTTTCAATTAAATTTATTTTTATTATAATAATATAAAAGCTCAATTGTGAATTAATATCGGCCGCGTTCCAGTTCATTTTAATTTACTTATTAATTTTAAAAATATTTCACTATATTATTCATAATATTATTGAGCACGGACCTGCAACAATTTGTAAATTCTATTAATTTTCAATTGAATTAGATAGTAAGTAAATCTGGTAAATCTATATACGTTAACATAGCGCGTAATGAATTTCTTTTGAAGTCTGGAAATCCAGTGACATATGGTATACCCATACAGTATAGAATAGGCATTTAATTCAATATTGTCATAAAATTTTTGATATTTAAAATTGAATTTCTTGATTTTTTTTTACTATTACTTAATTTGAATGATTATTTACAACTACAGTAGATTAGGTTAGGTTAGGTTTTCCCGGCCCCCCGAAAGGTACATATAGGCCAACTAGGCCCGTTGTGGTACCGCCGGATCTCTCGTTTTCCGCCCCTGATTCGAATCAGCCTGAGCTCCTCAAAAGTCGCTACAATATATGAAACGAAGCTGAACTGGAAAAAAAATCTGAATGTACCGAAATAGTTTTTGAATGATCGTTGACCCAACTCTAGAGTGATATACTTGTTAAAAAAAAAAATCCAAATTCATTTGTATTGTAATTCGGTTATCTTTATTTTAAGGAATAAAGAAATGGGGATATCCGATTATTTTAATTTTGTCCATCAGATATAATCGCTACACTGCCACTCTTATAGATAGTGCTGGATAGGTATGGTAAAAGTGGTAACAACAAAAAGCTCAAGAGGTAATTTAAGAACTGAATTTTAAGTGTTTAAAAATTTTTATTAATAGCATTTATTGAAGAAACAAAGGGCGACAGTTATAATTAGTGACTCCCATAATAAATCATTTTGCTTAGATGTTTATTATAAGTCAAGTTTTATTGAAAAAATTTCATAATATTTCGTAATGTTCAAAAACTAATATCTTATATTCACTATTTTAACAATATAAATTACAAGTTTATTACTAATGCAATTTTTAATATAAATTAAATGGAATTTCACAATTGATTACATTGTCAAAGCTGAATAAAACGAGAAAATCGAGATATAAATCTCAATAATTTCCTACTATAAGATCATCTTCAATTTATAAAAAAAAAAAATTTTTTTTTGAAAATTTGAAATTAATAACTATTTGCATCTATTATATATACCACTTCCATAATCCACCCACAATTTAAAACAAAACAAAATAAAATTTCGAAAAAAAACAAAGACTCAAAAACAAAAAAAAAAAAAAACAAACACAAGCCGTAATTCCAAAGCTCTGCAGAAAAATTTATTTTAAGAAATGACTACAGCTATAAACCTACAAAAAAAAAAATGAAAATAGTAACAATGAAAAACAAGAAAACAAAATGTGTAATCTGTATAATAATGAGAACGCCCTCTCACATTTACGACACTCACAATGAATATCAAATTAAAACATTAATTATCTTAACAACATTCAAATATACATTCACACACACACTCTCTATATATAAGAAAAATTATACCCATAAAATAATAAAGTTTTCTTTATAAAAAAATATTTAAACTACAGCTTCAAAAATTTTACAAAAGTCTCCACTACATATAAAAGAAAAAATTAATGATCCCCCTTATATACTTTAAATCTTATGAGAAAACCCAATCAATTATTAAACGATAAATTCATCTTCAAATCAAAAACGAATTAAATATATTTTAATATATAAATATATGTATATAACATGCTCCACCCTTTTACTTTAATACATAATAAATAAATAAAATAACGATTTTTTAAACGATCAGAATTAGTGGTAAATGTAGCTTCGAAAAAAAAAAACCAGCACACAAAGAATCAAATAACTTAATTAAATAATGCTTAAAATGAACACGCCTACACTACAGTTTTGTTGTTATTGTTGAAAAAAAAAAACAAAAATAAACAAATAATTATAAAATCATAGAGGAATCTATAAAAAAAAAAAAATTTCATTTCTAAGCTTAGGTTTTATTTATTCAACTACATATACATTCATACATATTATAATATTCTCCTAGTGCACATAATAATTTTACTCCCAGCAATATTCTCTCTAAAATCAAAATTTTAATAAGCAAATAAACACATATATATTTCGATTCCCCTTTAAAACTCGACTCTTTAACCAATATATAAAAGCATTCTCTTTTAAATCAAAATTCAATTCAAATTTATTAATTCTCTCTTTCACGATCAGTTTTCTTCATATTTTGTTGTCAAAATATCTTGATAGTAGTGAGAATTGATCGTCTTTGCAGAAATAATTTTTTAAATTTATATTAAATTAGTGTGAAAGAGTTAGATACTGAATTTTATTTTTTTAAACTGAGAATATTAAAAAAAATATATATTTTTGATTTTAATTCTCTCTTTCATTATTTCTCTTTTTTTATTTCTTTTAATTTATATTGCATTGCATTCACCTTATGGAAAATTCAAAATTATCGTTCTAAATCAGTTTTAGTTTGAATCTCTTGCGCATTGCGTTTCTGCTTAGAAAATATTGTTTATTTTGTTTGTGTATATTTTTGTTATTGTATAGGAAAATATTTACCGCTATTTATATTAAATGTCATGTCAGTTTTGTGTGTTTAAAAAAATAATTTAAAATTATGACTATAGATATTAAATTTAATTTAAAAATTTTACTATAATTTTACTAAAAATAATTAAGATACAATTTAAAAAAAAAATGTAAATAAAAATTTTAAAAGTGAATATTAAGTATGTATAAAGGTTTTAATTAAATTACCGGCGTTAAAATGTAAAAAGTTAAAATAAAACTGGTAATTGTGCAGTTTTAAGGAAAAATTAAAGGTAAGTATTTGATTTTTTTTCTAAATATAATTTCGAAGCATTAGAAATTTTGCAAAACAGGTTTTATAAGATTTTAAATTAACAATATGAGTCATTAAATTTTAGAAAAAAAATTATTTATAAAGTTTATTTTTAAGAAATAATCGACGTGGGTGGAATTTTTTTGCTGTTTAGCATGTGCTTCTGTTAAGTAAATTTGCTTATAATATGTAAAATAGAAGTATAGATAGCAACTGAAATTAATAGTTTAATAATTATAAAAATCTCGATAAAATAATTGAAATTTTTTAATAAATCAATTAATTTAGTGACTATAGTATACGATACTCTAATATTCATACATAAATATATATATATATACATATACTTCTACGAATTACTTCATAACATTTTATGTGATAAAAATTTAAAATCAAAAAGATTTCGAGTTGAAGACAAAATATAAGTTGTGCCAAAGTTCAAGAGAACTCATATGACTTACTCGAGGTAAGAAGATTTTCGAATTGTAGAGGTTCGAAATGTGGAGACTCCACTGTATATGTAAATTTTAAATTGATCTTCGGTAAAATATAAGAAATCAAAATATTTAATAAATTGCAATATGTAAATTATATTTCAATTTAATTTGATATTAGACTAAGGTTTCAATTTTTATTCAGAATGTAAATTGTATAAAAATAGTAATTTATTTAGTAATCTAATGTGAGGTAATCAATTTTAAATTATGGAGTACATTACTACGAGATTTAGAATATTTGATTAAAAAAATTATTAAAACTTCAAGAATTTTTTACTTTTTGTAAACGTTTTTTACTCAATTATCACTCAATTATATGAAAAATCCATTAATTAAAAAAAACTGATTAAAGTAGTAAGTAACAAACAGCCATTTTAATCGTTAAGCTAATAAAAATATTTATAAAAAAAATCCAATAGTTATACTTGGTTCAAAATTTATCAGAAATTTTATATAGTATGACACTTATCTAGCATCAAAGGAAAAAAACACCAAAATTTTTAATACGTAAAGTACGTTCTATCGTTAATCTGATTGTACGACATACCATCTACATCTATAGTATTTAAATACATAGTTTTAAATGATTTTATAAAAATTTTACTGCACTTTATATTTCTATGTTAAATTTTTTAAGTTTTAATAGAGATTTTAATAGCAAATTTACCGTTCACGGAAACAAATTTTTCCCTACATCTAAATTTCTAAACAAAAACATAAAAACTTGTAAATACCTATGTGGTACATTGCAATACTACTTTCATATGGATCTCATTTAAAGTAATTCCAATTTAAATATAAAATTCAATAAAGAAAACTTAATGTATTTACTCTTTGTACGTGTATGTTCATTTTTCTATGTAAAATATACCATGTATATTTATCACAAACGTTATTCAATATTATATAAAAGTTCATCTGATATTAAATAGAATGGAATAATGTTTTCTATATGGTCAGAAACTGATGAACCCTTTAAAATCCTTTTAAATATTAGATAAAATTTAAAAGAAGAAAAAAAAAATTTGAAAAAACCAAAAATCAATGAAAAACTTTTAAAAATTTAACATTTAAGAGAACAACAACATAACCTATTTATTACAGGACTTGATACATGTACATCTACATATACTCAGATTTCGAAGTCATTTTGTATAATGTTAAATGATTTTTCTCATTTTCATTGTTTTTTTTTTCTCATTTTATAAAATTGATTCAGCTAAAGCGATTTTAAAATAGCAAAAGTAAAAAATATCATAACAAAATTTTGTATAACGTAAGAATAGCAATCCCTTCTTTTTTCTGACAGGTTTATTTGATCCTTTTTTTTTTTTTGCTCTTTTAGCTTTACACTCTATTTTATTTCACCAAAATGTTAAAAGAACACCTACATACATCTATTTTGCTGTGGTTTTAAATGAAAAGTAGCCCAAATGCAAGAAATTTTTTTTTTTGAGTTTATTAAACACAAAATTTAGATTTAATTTTCTTTTTGTTTTTTTTTTGTTATTTTCGAACTAAATGAAGTATATTGACCTAAATTTGAAAAAGAAGTACATTGACAATGTAGATTGCAAAGTTTGGCTATGATGCAGCGAGACCTAAAAGATTTATTGTGACCTCCACTACGAGCGAACAGTGTCCTGCCTGGCGTACCTCCTCGAGACCGATACTTCTGATGAATCCGAGCAACTTTTCCGTGGAGATGTCCAACAACGCCATGCCTAGCGCCCGCCCAAGCTGGCTTTTCTGGTATGGACAACACTTTTCGGTCCCCAATCCCAACTTGCTTAGGTGTTTTCTTAACCTACAGTGTTCCGTCAGGAAACTCGTTAGATAAATTTGACATAGTACTTGTACATACAAAATCTCAAACATTTCATATTTTAGACAATTTGCAAGAGGTCGGCATACCAAACTAGATTTTAACATAAGATTTAATTTTTCCAAAAATTTGTAACATTTTACAAATATCACAATAATTTCGGAATTTATTACAGTATGTTAACCATAGTGAAATTGAAAACTTACAAAAATTCGACATAGCCAGTTCTTCGTTACAATCACAATTTTAATATACCCCTGTGTTTTCTCTTACTCATATAAAGGATAAAACATGGTTTATTTTGTTCATTCTTGAAATTTTTTCTTTGAGTTCATATAACAATTTACTTTTTGTATTACATATTTATTATATAAAAAAAAAAACAAATTATAAAACAGAAAAATAAAAATGGACATTAAAATTTCATCATCAGTATAATTCGAAATTCACATTAAATTGAATTCTAAGAAAACGGGAATTTGATAACTCAGTGATATTTGAGAAAGATGAAATTACTTTATAATTAAATTTCTCAATGTTATTATATGAATATCTAGCTTTCACTACTTATGTCAGAAATAAATGAAAAAAAAAATGTTTCACTAGCGCCGCCACAAATTTGTATTTCTCACTGTGGGGCAGTTTAAAAATTTCAGTTTATCCAATTACTAATCAAAATAAGAAAATTTTTGTAAAATTTCCCTGTTACCTTCCAGATATAAAGGGAAAAAAAGTGCAAAATTGTTTACTAAAGTCATAAAATCAATTAAGCATTTCAAATAAGAAGAATATAAGAATTCTTAGATTGATAGATCTGTCAAAGATTTTGCTAGATCTGTCAAATTCAACACAATCATGCTTTAGTAAATTTTTAAATTTCCTATTATTCTACTCAAAATTTCCCTTTCCGCTTTTGCTCTCTTTATAATCGTTAAATTGTTTGTTAATTATTTTGAATACCCATACAAGTTCAAAATAACTTATTTTTACTGTTAATTTAAACAACCATTTTGTTTTCTTTTTATACATTTTGCAAAAATGTAAAAAATATGAAATTTTTTCCACCATTTTCTTATATTCTACATTTTTATACCCCTTTTCATTTATATTTATTTAATTTTATTTTGGTTTATTTTTTTGTTTTTTAGTTTTGCTCTCTATTATTTTGATTTCTTCCCGTTTTATTCTCATTTATAATGATTTTCTTATCAGACTTTATGGCATTTTTAAACGCTTCATTGACTTCTATGTTGAACATTTTATCCAATACTAAAAAAAAAAAAAAAAACAAAAAGAAAACAAAACCAAAGAATATTTAACATGGGAGAATATTGAAAAAATAACATATATATAGAGAAAGAAATGTACAACAAACACACACATATATGAAGAAAATGTAATTTTAAATTGTCATTGCAAAATACATACATACGAGTATAAATACAAAATTACTTTAAGAAAAATGTCAAACGTTTACACACCTACAAGAACTATTTGTATACAATGAATTTTAAAAATATATTTACAAGGAAAAACATTTATCAAACACTTAAATTTACAAACAAGTGTAACATGTTACATATACAAAAACTTTTGTGTTATAATTTCTAAAATTTAATTTATCAAAAGAGAAAGGATCAAATTTCTCTTCATATTTCAAAATCTGTTATATTTTATGCATTTAAAATGTTTGTATAAATTTTAAATATTGTTACAGTTGTTTTCTGTAAAATTTATTCACAAATATGTACGCGATCTATTGACGAAATTATAACTTAAAAATGAGCAATGCAATACTGTCGACATCTGAAAATTTGTTTTCGAGCTTCGAACTATTAAATTGAAATGAATGTAATGAAACACTTAATTATTTTTACTAGCAAGAATTCAAACAATGGTGTTATTCATATTTAAATGCTGCAACTTGTAAGATGTCCGTCCTTATTCTCCATTAATAAAACCTGGAAATACTGTTATTATCGCAAGTATATATGATAAAGAAAATCCAAAACATTACCAAAAAGTTATTCCTTGACAAGAAGTAGATTTACTCTATTTCAAGTATATAACGCTTTAGAACGACAATTTATGCATTTAGATCTACATTTATTAGCTTTCGGTCAATTCGGGTGTCGTATTTAGAAAAAATTTACAGTAGAAATGTTTTTATCAATATTACTAATTTTTATTAAAGTTCGCTTCAGAAAATTTTAAAAAAATTTTTCAATTTTTCCATTTTATTTAAATATTTCCCATAGAGATATTGAAATATACTAATATATGTATACTCGTATTTATACTCTTAACATATATAATTATAAAAACTTTGTAAGGATGAAAAAACAAAAGAGCGTCAAAGAACAGAAAATGCAATAAAATTTTGTATATTCTTTGAAATCTTATATAGTCATCATTATACTGTTATACGTTATATGAAAATCAATACCGTTAAAAATATTATACTTTTTTCTGTAAGTATATGCAATGTATATGTATATATTCCTTTTGTATAACTTTTATCAAATACTTATCATTTCAACAAAAAAAAAGAACAAGAAAAAAAAAACTGCAAAACTTTTAATAAAAATATTTTAAAAAATGTTGTTGCATTTTACTGTCATTTATTCTTATACGATAAAAATGTATATGTGAGGATAT